ATACATGTTAAGAAATCCCAAAAATCCCAAAAATCCCTTAAGCCCCAATTAAACCCCAATTGGGTGAGGATGACATACGTTGAATCTATCTAATTTTTCGGTCCCTCTTACAATATTTAAAATTTTTTTAAATTATATATAAATTCTTTCACCTTAAAAATATTATTTACAAAAAAAACCCAGTACAAAAATAATAAACAAATATACAATATATTTGATTTTTAATGCAGTTTCAAAATAATTATTTAACAAGTTCTAAAGTCTAGTATTATTTATTAAAATAATTAATTCGATAATAAAGAAAATAGCAATCAATAAAAATTATTTAAAAAATAATTATATATTGGATTGTTATACTGATTACTTTTGTCAAAAAAAATTTAAAATTTTGTGAAACATAATATCAAAAAAATGCCAGTAACAAAATCATTTGTATAATGTAGACAATGATGTTCAAAATTATTTGAAATTTTCTTAATATATCCAACTCAATAAAAATTTAAATATAAACACTTGAATACTATAAAATTACTTTTACTTATAACTAGTTAATAAATTACTTGTTATTATTTTATAAATAATTATTATTGAAAATTTTATATTATTTATTAATTTTCTAACTTGATTTTCACAAAACTTATATTTTTTCATGATAGGCCTTAAAAAAATATTTAAATAATATTAATTAATATAAAGATGTTTTATTTATTAATACTATGTTTGATTTTCTTTTTTTTTAGATTAAATATTTATTAAGTAATAACATTTTTTAATTTTTCAAAAAGTTTTCCAAAAATTATGAGCAACACTGGATGTTCGATCACCTGGAGAAATTTCGTTTTTTTTTTGATAAAAATCCACCAAAAAATTCATATATGTATAACTCAAAATGTCCGCTACTTTAACGCCAGCTTCGTTGCGACCGAAGAAAACCTCGCTCTCACTTTAGCCGCACTGGTTAGAAAGTATGATACGGAAAAGCTTATCAAATTTTTGCGTGGGGAAGAAGACTTATAACTGGACGAAGACGATTTCAAAATTCTCCGTGAGGAGATCACCGGCGAGATTTCCTCAGGACGACTGAGGAAAAACTTCGTAGCTATGGTATGAAGGATGGGCCTGCCTCAAGAATTGCCGAGTTCACTAAGGAAGTTAAGGATAAAAAACTGAGAGCGTTTTCGCCATTTGTCAGTCTGAAGGAAGTATTAGAAAAAGTTTGACCTCAATAGCGGCGGGATAGAGGCAATCACCCTGTTCGAACGAAATTCAAGAAGATAAGCACTTCATACATTAAAAGTCATGCGAAACGAATACGTCATGGCAGTACTCCATTCAGCTCACCACATCGTCATAGACGAAACTGGAAAAGAATTAAGTATGCGCCCCAGCATGATTACGCAATAAAGGTAATCGGGTGATGGTGAATAGACTATAATTTTCCAAGTCGCGCTAATACGGTATTTTTATTCAGGATCTTGAGGATCTTCTCCGCATAATCGAAGACAAGCAACATAAAGTCCCCTTGGGCTTTGCTCAAGTAAGATTATTTTCGCTAGCAAATCAATGTATATAACTTATTTTCCATACCTAATTCTATTAGAATATCAAACAACTCAAGAGCTCAATCGAAACAAACAAGAAAAAGCGAGAAGAGGATGATAATTTCGATTGTTTGTATGGGATCATTACAACAGGGTTATACAGTCCAGGGCAGATTTCAAAAGCAAGCGATACCGCTCTTACTATCAAATTTGCCAAGAAGGCCTTTGAAAAAATTCGGAATATCACGCTTTACGTAAAAATGTAAAAAGATATTAGATGTTATCTTGGGTTTATTAAAGGATAGGGTGTGTTGAAAAATCGCCGGCTAAAAAAAGGGCCAGGGTTGAGGGATACCGCGCAAAAAAATGATGTAATAGTACCCGATTTCACATAATCCCATTGAACTTGCAGTATAAATAGAAAAGAAATATTGAAAATATAATGAAAAATTTTATAAAAAAAAAAAGGGGTCATTGGGGTTGTGAACGAACGAATTGCTCTTGGCACTAAGACGAGTTGCCTTTGACCTTCACACAAACTTAGAATGGAGCCCACCGGAGATAGCCCCCATAATCTAGCCTGACGCGTTGCCAAGCCGTTTAGGTGGTTGTTTTGACTGGAGGTGCCCAACTCCTTTCCTATCCCTCGCCACTTTCCTTACCTTAGATATTTCATCTTTGCTCAAGGCAGAAGCAACCTTTCTCCACTTTCCAACGTATGAAGTAAATTTTGATAAAGAGTATGTTCGATCGACTTATTAAACGTGAAATTATCTTTTGTTCAAACGAAATCTTTGATGGAGAATCTGGATTCAAAGCCGTTTCTCAGCCCTCAAACTATAAATATAATTTAGAAAATTTCACAAGAAAAAACATTTTAATCATTAAAACCTCACATTTTTTTCGAGATTGGTAGACATGGTGAAGCTCAAAAATATCATAGGCCACTATAAGATCGAAATAACTATAAATAATCAAATTCGCGTGAATCAGAATTCGTAACACATTCACATGATCACGATCAGCAAGTCGGGCACACGATTTGCAATAATACGTGCGAACATCAAAAAGCCGGTGAAGTCCAAAAACGGTGCAATTCCCGAAACAACAGTATCAACATATACACGAGTGTGGGATGTACCACGGCATATAAACAATGAATGGATGTCAACATACATCTTGAGAGCATGAATTTTTTATTATCATGGATAGGATTTGTTAAATGTTTTATCGTTAATTAACATCACAAAGCGGATAAAGGATACAGAAAAGAATTTCTCGACAAAAAAAAATCGGAATTTATTTATTGATGGGTTAAAGAATAAAAATTGCCAGCATTTTTTGATATATGCCCATGAAATTTTCAGCATCAATTCGGTTTTAGTTGAAAATCTTCAC